GAATTTAATACAGGTGACTGATCCTTCTATACCTGAATGTTCTTTTTCCTTGGCTTTGATAACACTGCAATAGTTCTTCTCTTTGGGGGTCATCCTAATTTGACCCTTCTGATGACTTTAACTGTCCTTTACGAGGTTTCTTTTATAGATCCTTCAGTCTCTGGGATCATAAAATATATACTCATTTAATCAAACACACAGGTCTTTATAGTGTTATATTATGGAATACAGCAATAAAGAAAGAAAAATCACACTTTAAAAACTATTTCCGTAGAGAAAGAAAATAGGTGAAAATTTAAAGTAAGGAAAGGAAATACTGTGTCAGGATGGAATGAACATTCTAGTGGCCCTGGATTAGCCCTCAGTTCTGAGCTTCAGATGCATGTAGCAAAATGCCAAGGTGCCTTGCATTCCTAGCGGGTACTAAACATGACCAAACTCAATATGTCATCTGCATCAATTCTTCTCTACAACCACCACTGAGCTACTGAAACCAGAAATGTATGAGTCATCCTTGAATTCTTTTCAAACCTTCTCCACATCCCATCTGTCACAAAGGTTAGCTAGTTCTCTCATATGACTGTAGTCACTTCACTTCACTGTCACTATGCTAATTCACAACAACAGGATCTCTCCCTTGGAGTCTTGAAATTGCTTCCTGACAGACCCCTTACAGACATAACTATCTTCCTCTGGTATGACTGTAACTTGTCTGTCACACTTCTGCTTCAACACATCATGGTCCCCAAGTACCCCTCCCCTGCTCTTCCCCTGACATCAATCGATTCTCTTACTCAGGGCTTCCAGTCTTACTGCTCTTCTTTAATTCTTTATACCATCTTCTCTTGGCCCAGGATATTTGCAGATTTAAAATGCCTGGAACACTTTTTTTCCAACTCTGTATCAGGGTAGCTGATCCTTCACATTCCAATTGAAGCATGATTTCTTAAGGCCAGTTTTACCTACATGGCCAGACTGAGTTACCTGCACCAGTTATGGATTCCAAAATCTCCTATTTTTAAAAAATGCATATATTATATCTGCAATTGCATCTATCATAGCTTTCCCCCAAAGCAAGATGTAAATTCTGAGAAGACAGGGATAATATCTGCCTCTTCATCACATCACCTCTAGTGCTTGTCAAAAAATGTTTGGCAGAGAGAAGGTGTTCACTCTATATACATATGAAATAATGCATGAGCATTATACAAGAGACTCACCGCAGATGGTGGATAACTGTTTTGCCTTTGCATTTATGTGCTACATAATCAGTGATGGGATGGTGGATAACTGTTTTGCCTTTGCATTTATGTGCTACATAATCAGTGATGGCTTTGAAGCATGACATCCTAAGAGTACTTAAACTTTGCCTATTCATTGTACACTGGGGATCTTGTAAGGTATTCTCCAGCAATTAACACTTCTCCAAGATTCCACATGATTGTTCCAATATTGCATCCTCCTAGCCAGGATTATCAGCAAAATTTTCCTGAGAGACGTCCAGAGATGATTTGGCTATACAATAAACACACATTTTAGGCACAACTCCATTTCTGATTTTTTAACCAGAAGGAGAATAAGTTACAGTTACCAGTAAGAGATATCCTGGAGATGTTACATAGAAAAAAGCCAATATTCTTTCATCTTTTCTCATTTTAATTGTGGTTTGGGTCTTTAATACATCTCCTTTCAACTTGGCCTTGAATTTTTTGAAATGTGTATTTCTTTATTCTCACCTAACTCTAAAGTAATTGTATCAAATTCATATCCATTCAGTTTTTATAGATGAATACCACAAAACCCTGTTTACTTTTGCATCCATTCATCATGTCTTATTCAAAGACATTAATCACATACCAAATGCTAAGCAAACTGCCACATTCAACAACAATCTAGTGGAAAAGTACTATTTTTTCCCAGAAAATAAAACTGATATTTATAGCAGTCAAATGACTTGCCCAGGTTAAAAAGTTACCAAGTATTTGAGCTGGGCTTTGAATGCAAATATTTACTTCCAGTTTCTTTATGCTCTTAATTTGTCCTATGCTGTTTTACTTGCTGAGATGCAAGTAATTTTTACTTAACTCAGCCTTCCTGTCCCCTAATTTTCTGTGCCAGGTAGGTCTGCAATATACACTTTAAGTATTCACTGGGTCTTTGCTATTATTCTAGATAAAGCGAGAGCATTTGTAGTCTGCTTTTTCCTGAATTTTGTTCTATCAACCCAAACTGAAGTGGGGCTAAGTAGAAGGGGCTGATGGTGCAGAAAGCAAAGCGTGGGTAACCAAAGGAAGGAAAACCGATTTGAGATATTTTCAAGGTGGTGGTGGTGGTGGGGCGGAATTTCTAGGGCTTCATTATTCGTGAATTCTACTTTGTGAATTCTCTGGGTATGCCTTTGGTCATCCAACCCCCTCCCCTTCTGCAGTCAGCTTGTGTAAAAGATTCCCGCTGTGTCTAAGAGTAAAGACAAAGAGAGGAAAAGTAGCAGATTTCTTTGGCCACAGGTCTCCAGCTGTCAGCTCCCGTGAGCACTGATGGTGTGGACAAACTTCTGGACACCCCTGAGACTCTGTGTTTCTATGTGGATGAGCTCTTGTGAGTGCCAAGCCCGGAAGAACCCCATGCTACAGAGGTGCGCTGTCTCGGGGCTGTTTACCTGTCTAACCTGGCAACGTCCTTAGTCAGAGAAAGCACACAGTTCTCCCTGTTGGTCTTCCATCCTAGGCAGTGGTCGAATCCCACCTCTCCACCCTCCCGCCTCCACACTGCCCTTGGAACCCTTTCCCTAAACAGCCCCCAAATGCTCCTCTGACCCTGGCGGGGGAGGCGAGAGGCTATACCGAAGAACGTGGATCGAGAGTGCTGCCCGGATCTGGAGCCCGAGCAGCCCCGGTGCCGCAGGGACCGCGAGGCTGTGCGCCACGCCGGCCCCGACCGGCGGCCCCTCCTTTGCGCAGGGATCTGCGGGACCAGCCCGGTGCGGTCCGCGCGCAGCTCCGCTCACGGCCGCGGGCAAGCGGAGGTCGGAGACAGCGGGGCGCTGGCCTGGGGGTCGGGAACGCTGCTTTCCAAGTGAAGCCCGGTTTCACCTCTCTTCACCTGAGTGACCTTGAGCAAGTTCCTCAGCTTCACTATGCCGGTTGCTAGACCCACAAAACTGGGGCACTGAGGGACAGCTCAAAGCAAGGACCTCTGTGGAAATTAATTACTGTAGCGCCCCGGCAGGTAGTAGGAGCTCTGGGCTGCTGGTGACAGTGATAGGAACGGTGGCTGGAAGCCGGGATGAAAGACTGACTCTGGCTTTCCCGGGGCTTCCCTGGGGCTAGGGGGAGAGAGCGGGCGGGAAGCCCTGTCCCCCTACGCCCTTTCCAAATAAAGTTGGGAAGGCTGGGACCCGGGCCGGGGGTCTCGGCCCCTCCCCACAGCCCCTCCCGAGCCCGCAGCACGCCTCCTGCCCTCCAGCGGAGGAGGAAACGTTTCTTTTGCGATTTGAGTCTCTCCTTGTCTCTTTTCCCTCTCCCCACCCCAAGCCTGCTGCCGGAGAGCCCGGCCTCCCGCGGAAGGGACGGGCCAGCCTCGGGGTGTGCGAGTCCCCCGGCTTGGGAAGGGAGGAGGGGGCGAGGTGGCACCAGGACCCCAGGAGATCAGCGGCCTCGGGCCAGTCCTCCAGAGGCGCAGCCCCGAAGCGCAGGACGCCCCGCGCCTCTGGGACCGGGGACCGGGGACCGGCGCCGGCTGCGCACGGCTGGAGTTGGTGGCCGGCGCGGCCCGCGAGGTAAGGAGGGCGGCGGCGGGGCCGGCCCTGCCCGTGTGGGCGCGGGGCGCGTGCGTCGGGAGCCGTGGGGGGCCCGGCCGGGGCGCGTCCCGCCAGCGACCCCTGCCCTTCCTGCGAGGCGCCACGGCCCACGCCCTCGCGGAGCCTGCACCTGTGCCGGGGCGCTGGTCAGCCGCGTCCCTCACGCCCCGGCGCCCCACCTCCCCCTCATCCGAACCCCGCCCTGCCCACTCCAGATTTCCCAGTGCAGAATCCGAGCGGGACCCGGAGAGACAGCCTCGCCTTTCTGCTCCCCTCGCCCCCTCCCCCGCCTGCTATAAATAACCGGGACTAGCGGGTCAGGAACGTCACGCGGCGAGAAACCAGGACCCCGAGGAGGTTTTCTTCTCTGGGTATAGGGGCAAAGGGTGAGGAGGAGGAGGAGGAGGAGGAGGAGGAGGAGGTGGTGGTGGAGAAAGAAAATCGCTCGTGAGTAGTGAAGAAATCTTGCTCCTTGACTCCCAGCAAAGACTGGGCATCATTTTATTCTTTTTTTCTTTCCCTTTCTTCCTTGCCCCGTTTTCTTTCTTATTCCCACCCCCTGCCCCCAATCCAGCGGGCTGCCGGGCACTCCTGCCTTCGGCTGCCTTCCTCCCACCCCGCGCGCGCCCCCAGCCGCCACCCCGGCTCGCCCCAGGCAGGGGGTGCTGCTCGCCCAGAAAATAAAGTTCAAACTCCTCGCCCCGTCAGCCTGCCGAGACCTAAGTGGGCTTCCAGCACTCATCTTCCGCACCCCACACCTGCTCGCCCCAAATTCTTAATCTGGTTTTGCATATTTAAGGAGACACACACACACACACACACACGCACACGCACACGCACACACTCACGCCAAAAAACCACAACCCGCGAGGTGCAAAACTGCCTCCCGCAACTACCAAAACTTACCAGATGCTGTAGTTGTTTTTGTCTTAACAAAAGGACAACAAAGATTTACTCTGGATGCTCCCGTGGGGTGACTTTTTATATTATCTAAACATGCATACATTATACATATCCTTTTCCTTTTTAATTTTCTTTTTTTAAACAAGGAAATCTACTTGGTCCCCGGCAGCCGCCGCTGCCCCTTTGATGTTTTGGTACGTCGTGCGCATGCGCCTCACATTAGCATTACTGCACTGGGCGGACTAAGTTGGATCGCCTCTCTTCAGTGAAACCCTGAATCCCATCAAAAACTAAAGGGATGTGGAGAGTCCGGAAGAGGGGTTACTTTGGGATTTGGTCATTTCCCTTAATAATCGCCGCTGTCTGTGCGCAAAGGTAAGTGTCTTTTTCCTTTCTCACTTGAAGAGCCCCGTCTGCATACCTCTGTGAACGGAGATGCTGAAGACGCCCTGTGTGCTTGCTTCCCCATTGATGGCTGTTTACTGTCATTTCTTTCTCCAGTGTCAATGACCCTAGTAATATGTCGCTGGTTAAAGAGACGGTGGATAGACTACTGAAAGGCTATGACATTCGTCTGAGACCAGATTTCGGAGGTAATGGGGTTGTCTTGCAAATCAGAACCAGCCCTGCTGTAGCGGAAGCTAAGCTGTCTTTTGGGCTTTGCGTGCGGTTTCTTCCCTGTCCCTGGTTGTGGGTGCATGTGATGTACTGAATGGCTCCCTATTTTTCCCCGTTGAGGAACTGATCCAAACTTAAGCCAGCTTGTTTCTAGCGGGCTCTTGAGAGGCTTTTACAGTCACAAATCATTTCGCTTCACTGTCTTTGTTGAGATGCAAGCCTCTGAAGTTTAGTTAGTGGTCTGCCTCGAGAACGTGCCTCCTCGTGAACATTTCTGAGGACAAGATGTGCAGGCCTTTGGTTGAGAGGTGGCTTTAACCCCTGTGCCCGCCTACTTTGGAAGAGTTCCTTTGGCCATGGTTTAAGTGGCTCCTGTCGGGATACTGTCCTGTCCTTCAAGCCTCAGCATGGGGGGAGAAGGCAGGAGGGCTGGGGGGTTGGTGGGAGGGTGGGGAATGGGCGGGAGAAGACAGTTGGGGAAAGCCCATCGCTTGCTGCAGTGCTGATATGCTGATGTGCCCATGTAATTTTTCTCCAGACTCTTACAGAATTCAAAGAGTTAATAGAAGGGGGTTGGGACAGAATGAAGAGGAGGGGGTTTGTGAGAATATTTATAAAAATCCCTTGGGCTAGACTCTTGTGGTTGTGAGAGTTGTGTGTGTGTATTCACACGCTGAGACTTCTTACATGTGTGGACAGAACTGGACCCCTTGCCAGCACCACATGTGTGTGTGTGTTCAACAGAGCAATTTCTAGAAGAGTGAGTGCCTGCAGGATCAGGGAAGCAAAGTGTTCAAGGATCAGCAGTGGAGAGAACTGTGGGGTGGGTGTCCCAAGCCCAGGGACAACTCTTGTTAGAATAAGTAAGTTCTGAGAAGTCACATGGCTGACCATCTTGGCTTGCAGGTCCCCCTGTGGCCGTGGGAATGAACATTGACATTGCCAGCATCGATATGGTTTCTGAAGTAAATATGGTGAGTTACTGAGGTCTGTGCTGTGTCTCTGCAGACCTTTATTTGGGGACAAAGAGGAGGCGAGAGCCAGTCACCCAGGGTGGGCTCTGCCTGACCATGTACATGAGGTGGGGGCAAGGAAGGAGATTTGGCTTTGGAATTTTGTGTTCCAGGTTATACAGTTGGCTCTTGTCCTCAAAAATTTTCCAACCTGGTTCTGTTACTTGGGTCGTGGTGTAGAGTGAGTAACGTGTATCACATGTTCTCCGGTAAAGTGTGTTCACATGCTGGCGACCCTCTGTAGAAGCTACATTTCTTTAAGACTTGATAGAAAATTCATTTTATCAAGTGGTTTTCTGGGTTGGGATTAAGGAGAAAGATTTTTATTTAAGAGAAAATTTATTTAACAGAGAATATAACCTGCAAGCTAAATTTTAACAAGAGTGAATAAATGACCCAGGGGTACTGATGCCCACTTGTTGCTTTTGGAAATCAAAATCTTCTTTAACTCTTTTTGGTTACCAAAATAAATAAAAGTAAGCATGGCTCCCAGTTTCTAAAAGGTAACTCAGTCTCATGTGTCATCTCTGGTCATTTTTGCCATCCTATTCATTTTGTGTCCTAAGCCTGCACAGTTTATTGATAGCTACCCGCTAGTTGCTGCCTCCTTAGACTTGAGGCAAGTGCTAATAGAATAAGGTGTCTGTGTTCCCCAAGTAGGAAGCACTTGTGGGGGGTTTGCTTCATGCAGGAGCGCCCCCTGCTGCCTATGTTGGATCACTGCAGACATGCATGACTGACAAGTGTTCCGGATTCCCCTACCTGGAGCATTTCTCCAGTGACTTTTCTACTCTTTGTTGTTAAAGTTTTCCATTTGGAGAAGTCCCTGCAATTAAACCACTGCTTAGTGTGATTGTCCAGTGTTCCTTTCAGTCCTGATAGTTTACAGCACATTTCAGAATAAACTGTTATGGTATCATTCTATCTAAAAAGTGAGTGATAAATTAAAGATGGGAGTGTACATAAACTTCTATGCAAATGCTTCCAAGTAAGCCATTAGGACTTAAAAGTTAAGACAACATCAATTGACTCAAGAAGGCCATAGCCCTATGGTTAGGATGTGCTCTCAACATCACACAAGTTTTCATGCAAGGAATTTTTTTTCAGTACCAGGGATCAAACTCAGGACCTTGCATTTGCAAGGCAAGTGTGGTGCCACTGAGCTCCATCCCCAGCCCTTCACACAAGTTTTCATATCTCCACAATTCAAAGACAGAGGAAGCTCAAATAACCAGTACAACCCCAAATCAGTGATAATCTAGAGGTATCTCAAGATTCTTAAGCATTTTATGAAAATTCAACTATTTTAGTAATGTTTAATGATATGAATATTCTTATATTCTAAGTATTTAGAGAATTTCTATTATCACATAGGGTGTATATATAGACTAAAGGCCATGATTTAGCTTGTTTGTCAAATGATTCAGGACAACACATTATGAGATTCTCCTATGTGGATAATGTTTCTTCCTTAATAAGTTAATTTCTCCAATAAACAAACATTCGCTTTTGTGGAGTTTGAAAGATCTTTCACCAGTTTATACTTTGAATTTCCACAAAAATACAGAAAAATGCCCTAATGTATGTGCCTCCAAAGTCCCAAGTATTTGTATTTAAATTGTGTTGCTAAAAACAAAGTTATATTGAAATCAGGAGTGGCTCTTTGTTTTCTATATGTGGTTGAAACAGATTTTTTTCCTTTTCAGTTTTCTTTATTGTCATTCTTTTCTTTCTCTCAATGTTGATTTCACTCCTTGCTTCTTTACTGCTTACTTACTCATCAAAAATATGCTATTTTTAAAAACTAAATTCAGACAAACCTGGAATCCAAAGAGACAATTATGAGATGACTAGAGTTTACTACAATAGGTTAGCTGAGAACTTAGAGACATATTGCATCAAATGTTATTTCAGGGGTAGAGTTTTTGTTCTCTTAAGTTCTGCTCATTTTTCCCTGCATGCAATATTTTGGAGAGGTATCTGAGGTGGATACAAATGCCAAACCTGCTAGTCAAAATATAGATCCAGCTAAGACAAGGTGTCATTATTTAAAGCTATTTACTGTTGCTGAAAAATCATGGGATGTTGAAAGTGCAAAAATAAATTGCCAGGTTGTAAATGGAACAGCACTGCAGTATTAATGATTAGAACCAAGTGTTAAAAATTCCAAGCCAGATTTCTTTCTTAGCCTCATGTTAACATTCATGGGTCTGTCCAGCCACATTTTGAATTGTTGAAAAATTAACATTTATATAATCTAGAAATGTGAGTGATCATAAATTAATCCTCAGTAGAAATTTATTGTTATATATATTATCATTAATTTGCTTTTAAATATGGTATTTGCTGTGAAGCAACAGATAATTCTATCCTTGTTGCCAAAATAAAAGAAGGTGCTTTGGTTTATTGTCTCTTGTAGTCATGTCTAAAAGTGTTAGAATCTTCTGGTTAGATTCATTTCCCAAAAATGGTTGATTGGATATTTAAGTGAAATCTCAAAAGTTGATTAACACATACATTTCTCCCTCATTGTACATGGTGGACTGGGTAATTGTAACTTTTGCTTATTAGAGCACATCTTCCTTTGAAGAATTGAGGAAATAGACCATTTAAATTGTCATTGACTCATTTGTACTCAAGGAATAAATGTCCCTGTCAATGTGATGCTCCTTATAAATGTCAGTGATGGAAAGATTCTAACACAATCAGAAGTCTTGGATGCTAGTTCTACTTCTGATGCTTAGTCATACTGAGATATTCACACCCAGAGTGGGCACAACTTTCTTATCTGCTGAAGGAGAATAACAGTCCAATTTTACATATGTCAGGTGGCTACCGGAATTAATAAAATTATATATGTAAATGTCTTGGTGCTCTGTGAACATAATTCAGTGAACACTGATGACCAGGACAGCACTCTAGAAACCCAGTGTCCACTCCCATTGCTGCCTAAGTGTGCTTGGGTTGGCAATGTACCTCACTAAGTCTCCATTTGCTCATGCTTGAAATGAGAAAAGACAGGTTGACGTAAACTCAAAATTAGATGTGCCTACAATTTGGTTTGTAATATAGCTCTCTTATAGTTATAAAGAAGTTCCAGGAAAAATTGGGCCTTTGGGAAAACATGAGGAAAATGCAGAATTTCTAAATGGCATAGAATTGTGAGTTCTTGTAAGGTGGTAATGGTATCTAAGTGTTGATGATGATATCCAGGTATTGTCACTCAGCGGAAAATCTTTGGGAGGATATGATCTCAATTAGAATGCTCCTGAGCAGTAGCTTGGCTTCAGAATGAAATATATTTAGATGCCTTGGTTAAATTGGCAGGAATCTTTTTGTTAAGATTCTTTGATGTGAAGTGCATTTTAAGATTCAAATTTGGCTCTGAGGATTAGGGACTGAAATAGCTTTCCCTTCATTTAGAGCAGATTCTTCTCCATCTTGAAACAACGTATTTGCCAACCAAAGAGTGAAGCAATATTTCACTTTTGAGGAAAGAATTCTAGTAAACACATACACAAATTACCTTTTTATGGAATGGCAAATGGAGAACAGTACTACTATTTTTTAAAGCAGATGTTTCTTGCATCACCAGCTGCACCATTTAAAATTCTACTCAACAAATACTTACTTAGGAGCCACTATGAGCCATGATGTGTGAGGCCTTTTAGACAGCAGTGAACAAGACCAGCCTGTCCCCAACCTCATAGAACTTAAAATCTAGATGCTCTCTATTCTAAATCCCACCCCGTGTTCTTACTATACTTCTGTTTATCTTAAGTTTTATGGCCCCGCGGGTGTCGAGTGTCTCCGCCTATTCATTCCTTTGTCACTTATTAATTTCACCATTTATTTGGTATTCAGTGTTTCAAGATGGCTTATAGGCTACAGTTATTGTGTCTTCCAAAGTGTTTGTAAATTACATTTAGACAAGTCATAGTGTCACCTCCAGTGTGGCAATGCCATGAATATTTAGTGAAGAATTCATTTCATAGCTGTAATTTATTATTATTTACTACACACTACTATCTATGTGGGGAAATGAAGCATAGAATTTTAGTGCTCAATTTCAAGACATGCACCATTTAAGACAAAAATGTAATGTCAGAAGTGTTTTGAAGAGGACATATATCGAACTTAGTGGGACCAGCTATTAATGCATTACAAAGAAATTAGTTTAGTGATAAAAAAGGTTATGGGTCTGTGGGCAAATGTTCCAAGAAGAGAAAAATGTTGTATAGGAGGCTGTGACCCTGGAATATAAGTGGTACTGGGGGTTTTCAAACAGCTTTAAGAGGCTACTTGCAATGAGAGTGGGGAGCTGACAGAATTGATGTTGAAGTCCTAGTGATCAACTTTCAAAGATGAATTATGTGTCTTACTGAGGAGTTTAACTTTTTCCCCAAAAGACACTAGGGACCCAAGAAAGGATGTCAATGAATAGATTTACACTTCTGAAAAGATGTTTCAGTGGTGTGGCAGGTGGATGGAAATGGAGTTAGACCCAAGTTTGGGCAATGAGTTGCAACCTACTGTGAGGATCTAGGCAGCGTGCACGAACTGCTTACAGAAGAAGGTATGAAGTCACGGTATTTACAAAGCGGAAGTGGCAGTGCTGAATAAGTTCCAACTTTCTCATTGTATCATTATTAAAACAGCGAAGTCAGAAGAGGTGGTGGAAGCTGGGAGGATAAATAATGTAGGCAGTAAGTTCAGTTTGGGAAATATTTTTCTATGCACATGGAACCTCCAAGTGGAGATAACCAACCAGGAGGTGATGGGAAAATACAAGTCTAGCACTGAGGAACAGATCATGAATAGAGAGGTGGCCTTGAACATTGTCACCATCTAAGTGGTGCTTACAACTATGTGTAGAGATGAAATGAAAAAAGAAAAATGAGAAGATAGCTAAAAATAGAGACCTGATGGGCAACTGTAATTTAGGTGGGAAACTGCAAAGG